GCCAAGTCCCCCGTGTCAATTCACTTACCTTTTGCGTTCCTCTCGCTGTCTTCCCGCGCCGTTCGGGTCTTCAGGGCGGACTGTGAGAGGAGCCTAGCTCCCCTCCCCTCACGTTCGGCACGCTGCCCCGCCTACACACATCCTGACAGCCACATCCGCGGGCCGGATTAAAAGGTCCGCGCGGACTTTTTGGGGCTGCCAACCGAGAGGAGGCAGGGGAGCGGCCGACCGAGAGGAGGGAGGGGAGCAGGCGCCCGGCACACAGAAGAGCCGCATTAGAGTGGGTAAAGAGCCGCATGTGGCTCGCGAGCCGCGGCTTGCCGACCACTGTATTAGATTCATCTTTATGTTGCATGTCTTCTCTGCCATTGATGACCGAGTATTGATCAAACGTTGGGGAGGTTTGTAGTATTAGATGCCACTTTATGTTGCATGTCTTCTCTGCCATTGATGAGCAGGTATTGATGAAACGTTGGGGAGGTTTGTAGTATTAGATGCCACATTATGTTGCATGTCTTCTCTGCCATTGATGAGCGGGTATTGATCAAATGTTGGGGAGGTTTGCAGCTAAGTTAAACTTGATTTGGAGGCAATTATATGTAGTTAGTGAGTATTAGAGATGAGTGAATCGAAGTAGGCGAAGTGGAATTCGTTTCGAATATCGAAATTTTCCTAAAATGGCGGCGGACATGTGCGGCGACGGAGCGGGGATGTCTGGGAAGGCGCGCAGACAAGGCGCGCTGAACCATAATGCATTCCTTAATGACATGTGATCGCATTAGCCAATCAGCAGCCAGCCAGCCAGCACTGTGTAATGGTCGAGCTATAAATGGCGGCCATTTTAGAATTCTTCATTTGCCTCCAGTCATTCAAGAGAGGCAGACCGCTCTGTATTAGGGACAGAGTTAGGGCCACAGAAACGTTACTTGGGGGGGACAGAGAAACGTTACTTAGGGACAGAGAAACGATTACTCAGGGACACAGAATTGTTAGTGAGGGCCACAGAATCGTTACTTAGGGCCACAGAAACGCTAGTTAAGGCCACAGAATTGTTACTCAGGGACAGACAGAATTGTTACTGAGGGCCACAGAATTGTTACTTAGGGCCACAGAAACGTTACTCAGGGCCACAGAATTGTTACTGAGGGCCACAGAACTGTTACTTAGGGCCACAGAAACGTTAGTTAGGGCCACAGAATTGTTACTCAGGGACAGACACAGAATTGTTACTGAGGGCCACAGAATTGTTACTTAGGGCCACAGAAACGTTACTCAGGGAACACAGAATTGTTACTGAGGGCCACAGAACTGTTACTTAGGGCCACAGAAACGTTAGTTAGGGCCACAGAATTGTTACTCAGGGACAGACACAGAATTGTTACTGAGGGACACAGAATTGTTACTGAGGGCCACAGAACTGTTACTTAGGGCCACAGAATTGTTACTCAGGGACACAGAATTGTTACTGAGGGCCACAGAACCGTTACTTAGGGCCACAGAATTGTTACTCAGGGACAAACACAGAATTGTTACTCAGGGACACAGAATTGTTACTGAGGGCCACAGAACCGTTACTTAGGGCCACAGAATTGTTACTCAGGGACACAGAATTGTTACTGAGGGCCACAGAACCGTTACTTAGGGCCACAGAATTGTTACTCAGGGACAGACACAGAATTGTTACTCAGGGACACAGAATTGTTACTGAGGGCCACAGAACCGTTACTTAGGGCCACAGAAACGTTACTCAGGGACACAGAATTGTTACTGAGGGCCACAGAACCGTTACTTAGGCCACAGCCACAGAATTGTTACTCAGGGACAGACACAGAATTGTTACTCAGGGACACAGAATTGTTACTGAGGGCCACAGAACCGTTACTTAGGGCCACAGAATTGTTACTCGGGACAGACACAGAATTGTTACTCAGGGACACAGAATTGTTACTGAGGGCCACAGAACCGTTACTTAGGGCCACAGAAACGTTACTCAGGGACACAGAATTGTTACTGAGGGCCACAGAACCGTTACTTAGGGCCACAGAATTGTTACTCAGGGACACAGAATTGTTACTGAGGGCCACAGAACCGTTACTTAGGGCCACAGAATTGTTACTCAGGGACAGACACACAGAATTGTTACTCAGGGACACAGAATTGTTACTGAGGGCCACAGAACCGTTACTTAGGGCCACAGAAACGTTACTCAGGGACACAGAATTGTTACTGAGGGCCACAGAACCGTTACTTAGGGCCACAGAATTGTTACTCAGGGACAGACACAGAATTGTTACTCAGGGACACAGAATTGTTACTGAGGGCCACAGAACCGTTACTTAGGGCCACAGAATTGTTACTCAGGGACACAGAATTGTTACTGAGGGCCACAGAACCGTTACTTAGGGCCACAGAATTGTTACTCAGGGACAGACACAGAATTGTTACTCAGGGACACAGAATTGTTACTGAGGGCCACAGAACCGTTACTTAGGGCCACAGAAACGTTACTCAGGGACACAGAATTGTTACTGAGGGCCACAGAACCGTTACTTAGGGCCACAGAATTGTTACTCAGGGACAGACACAGAATTGTTACTGAGGGCCACAGAATTGTTACTGAGGGCCACAGAAACGTTACTCAGTTACTCAGGGGACACAGAATTGTTACTGAGGGCCACAGAACCGTTACTTAGGGCCACAGAATTGTTACTCAGGGACAGACACAGAATTGTTACTCAGGGACACAGAATTGTTACTGAGGGCCACAGAACCGTTACTTAGGGCCACAGAAACGTTACTCAGGGACACAGAATTGTTACTGAGGGCCACAGAACCGTTACTTAGGGCCACAGAATTGTTACTCAGGGACACAGAATTGTTACTGAGGGCCACAGAACCGTTACTTAGGGCCACAGAATTGTTACTCAGGGACAGACACAGAATTGTTACTCAGGGACACAGAATTGTTACTGAGGGCCACAGAACCGTTACTTAGGGCCACAGAATTGTTACTCAGGGACACAGAATTGTTACTGAGGGCCACAGAACCGTTACTTAGGGCCACAGAATTGTTACTTACTCAGGGACAGACACAGAATTGTTACTCAGGGACACAGAATTGTTACTGAGGGCCACAGAACCGTTACTTAGGGCCACAGAATTGTTACTCAGGGACACAGAATTGTTACTGAGGGCCACAGAACCGTTACTTAGGGCCACAGAATTGTTACTCAGGGACAGACACAGAATTGTTACTCAGGGACACAGAATTGTTACTGAGGGCCACAGAACCGTTACTTAGGGCCACAGAACCGTTACTCAGGGCCACAGAATTGTTACTGAGGGCCACAGAAACGTTACTTAGGGCCACAGAATTGTTACTCAGGGACAGACACAGAATTGTTACTCAGGGACACAGAATTGTTACTGAGGGCCACAGAACCGTTACTTAGGGCCACAGAAACGTTACTCAGGGACACAGAATTGTTACTGAGGGCCACAGAACCGTTACTTAGGGCCACAGAATTGTTACTCAGGGACACAGAATTGTTACTGAGGGCCACAGAACCGTTACTTAGGGCCACAGAATTGTTACTCAGGGACAGACACAGAATTGTTACTCAGGGACACAGAATTGTTACTGAGGGCCACAGAACCGTTACTTAGGGCCACAGAATTGTTACTCAGGGACACAGAATTGTTACTGAGGGCCACAGAACCGTTACTTAGGGCCACAGAATTGTTACTCAGGGACAGACACAGAATTGTTACTCAGGGACACAGAATTGTTACTGAGGGCCACAGAACCGTTACTTAGGGCCACAGAATTGTTACTCAGGGACACAGAATTGTTACTGAGGGCCACAGAACCATTACTTAGGGCCACAGAATTGTTACTCAGGGACAGACACAGAATTGTTACTCAGGGACACAGAATTGTTACTGAGGGCCACAGAACCGTTACTTAGGGCCACAGAACCGTTACTCAGGGCCACAGAATTGTTACTGAGGGCCACAGAAACCGTTACTTAGGGCCACAGAATTGTTACTCAGGGACAGACACAGAATTCTTACTCAGGGACAGACACAGAAGTGTTACTCAGGAACACAGAATTGCTACTGAGGGACACAGAATTGTTACTGAGGGACACAGAATTGTTACTCAGGGACACAGAATTGTTACTGAGGGACACAGAATTGTTACTGAGGGACACAGAATTTTTACTGAGGGACACAGAATTGTTACTGAGGGACACAGAATTGTTACTCAGGGACAGACACAGAATTGTTACTCAGGGACAGACAGAATAGTTACTGAGGGCCACAGAACTGTTACTTAGGGCCACAGAAACGTTACTCAGGGACACAGAATTGTTACTCAGGGACAGACACAGAATTGTTACTCAGGGACAGACACAGAATTGTTACTGAGGGACACAGAATTGTTACTGAGGGACACAGAATTGTTACTGAGGGACACAGAATTGTTACTGAGGGCCACAGAACTGTTACTTAGGGCCACAGAAACGTTACTCAGGGACACAGAATTGTTACTCAGGGACACAGAATCGTTTAATTAAAGAGTATGTCAGACAACATGCAGAGGAGTGGCAGAGGAGGCAATGTTTTAGGAGCGAGCAGACGTGGCAGCAGAGGAAGGGGTCGAGGCAGCACTATTCGCAGCCAGAGGCTAGTGCTCCCGGTGTCATCCAGTACAGTGAGGAAGAGCTAACAGAGGGCGGTCAGGAACGGGGGGAGACATCCGCCTCTTCAGCAGCCAGGCGAAGAAGTAGTGGCGAGGAGAGTGGCTCGGTAGCCGGTCTAGAGACAGGTCTGTCTCCTGACCCACACGCAGCCGAGGGGGCTAGTAGTGAGGCGGAGACCCTAATTGATGATGATGAGGCTGATCGCACTTGGCAGCCTCGTCGTCATCAGGCTATTGCTTCCGCATCATCAGGAGAAGAGGGTGGCAGCTTGGCAGCGAGCAAAACAGTCGGTGGGTTGTCTCCATCGCCACACTCTGCCATGTGCCACTTTCAGGTCTCCTCACACACTGCTGGTGTGTTCAATTTTTTGACATAGGGTGCTGGCAGATTACGGGCCTCCCATAGCTGCTGCCAGGCCCCTAATCTGCCATGGGCCCCTATACCGCCTCCTCATGCTGCTGCCAAGTCCAGAGTCTCTCATGGGTCCCTGTACGGCCTCCCCATTGCTGCTGTCTCCATCGCCACACTCTGCCATGTGCCACTTTCAGGTCTCCTCACACTGCTGGTGTGTTCCATTTTTTGTCATAGGGTGCTGGCAGATTACGGGCCTCCCATAGCTGCTGCCAGGCCCCTAATCTGCCATGGGCCCCTATACCGCCTCCTCATGCTGCTGCAGGTCCACAGTGTGTCTCATGCCATGTGCCACTTTCAGGTCTCCTCACACTGCTGGTGTGTTCAATTTTTTGACATAGGGTGCTGGCAGATTACGGGCCTCCCATAGCTGCTGCCAGGCCCCTAATCTGCCATGGGCCCCTATACCGCCTCCTCATGCTGCTGCCAAGTCCAGAGTCTCTCATGGGTCCCTGTACGGCCTCCCATTGCTGCTGTCTCCATCGCCACACTCTGCCATGTGCCACTTTCAGGTCTCCTCACACTGCTGGTGTGTTCCATTTTTTGTCATAGGGTGCTGGCAGATTACGGGCCTCCCATAGCTGCTGCCAGGCCCCTAATCTGCCATGGGCCCCTATACCGCCTCCTCATGCTGCTGCCAAGTCCAGAGTCTCTCATGGGTCCCTGTACGGCCTCCCATTGCTGCTGTCTCCATCACCACACTCTGCCATGTGCCACTTTCAGGTCTCCTCACACTGCTGGTGTGTTCCATTTTTTGTCATAGGGTGCTGGCAGATTACGGGCCTCCCATAGCTGCTGCCAGGCCCCTAATCTGCCATGGGCCCCTATACCGCCTTCTCATGCTGCTGCCAAGTCTAGAGTCTCTCATGGGTCCCTGTACGGCCTCCCATTGCTGCTGTCTCCATCGCCACACTCTGCCATGTGCCACTTTCAGGTCTCCTCACACACTGCTGGTATGTTCAATTTTTTGACATAGGGTGCTGGCAGATTACGGGCCTCCCATAGCTGCTGCCAGGCCCCTAATCTGCCATGGGCCCCTATACCGCCTCCTCATGCTGCTGCCAAGTCCAGAGTCTGTCATGGGTCCCTGTACGGCCTCCCATTGCTGCTGTCTCCATCGCCACACTCTGCCATGTGCCACTTTCAGGTCTCCTCACACTGCTGGTGTGTTCCATTTTTTGTCATAGGGTGCTGGCAGATTACGGGCCTCCCATAGCTGTTGCCAGGCCCCTAATCTGCCATGGGGCCCCCTATACCGCCTCCTCATGCTGCTGCCAAGTCCAGAGTCTCTCATGGGTCCCTGTACGGCCTCCCATTGCTGCTGTCTCCATCGCCACACTCTGCCATGTGCCACTTTCAGGTCTCCTCACACTGCTGGTGTGTTCAATTTTTGTCATAGGGTGCTGGCAGATTACGGGCCTCCCATAGCTGCTGCCAGGCCCCTAATCTGCCATGGGCCCCTATACCGCCTCCTCATGCTGCTGCCAAGTCCAGAGTCTGTCATGGGTCCCTGTACGGCCTCCCATTGCTGCTGTCTCCATCGCCACACTCTGCCATGTGCCACTTTCAGGTCTCCTCACACTGCTGGTGTGTTGAATTTTTTGACATAGGGTGCTGGCAGATTACGGGCCTCCCATAGCTGCTGCCAGGCCCCTAATCTGCCATGGGCCCCTATACCGCCTCCTCATGCTGCTGCCAAGTCCAGAGTCTCTCATGGGTCCCTGTACGGCCTCCCATTGCTGCTGTCTCCATCGCCACACTCTGCCATGTGCCACTTTCAGGTCTCCTCACACTGCTGGTGTGTTGAATTTTTTGACATAGGGTGCTGGCAGATTACGGGCCTCCTATAGCTGCTGCCAGGCCCCTAATCTGCCATGGGCCCCTATACCGCCTCCTCGTGCTGCTGCCAGGTCCAGAGTCTGTCATGGGTCCCTGTACGGCCTCCCATTGCTGCTGTCTCCATCGCCACACTCTGCCATGTGCCACTTTCAGGTCTCCTCACACACTGCTGATGTGTTCAATTTTTTGTCATAGGGTGCTGGCAGATTACGGGCCTCCTATAGCTGCTGCCAGGCCCCTAATCTGCCATGGGCCCCTATACCGCCTCCTCATGCTGCTTCCAGGTCCAGAGTCTCTCATTGGTCCCTGTACGGCCTCCCATTGCTGCTGTCTCCATCGCCACACTCTGCCATGTGCCACTTTCAGGTCTCCTCACACACTGCTGGTGTGTTCCATTTTTTGTCATAGGGTGCTGGCAGATTACGGGCCTCCCATTGCTGCTGCCAGGCCTGTAATCTGCCATGGGCCCCCGTACCGCCTGGTCACGCTGCTGCTGGGTCCACAGTGTGACATGGTCCCTGTACCGCCTCCCATTGCTCCCACTCTGCCATGTGCCACTTTCAGGTCTCCTCACACTCCTGCTGGTTTCCATTTTGTCATAGGTTGCTGGCAGATTACAGGCCTCCCATAGGTGCTGCCAGGCCCCAAATCTGCCATGGGCCCCCGTACCGCCTCGTCACGCTGCTGCTGGGTCCACAGTGTGACATGGGTTCCTGTACCGCCTCCCATTGCTCCCACTCTGCCATGTGCCACTTTGAGGTCTCCTCACACTCCTGCTGGTTTCCATTTTTGTCATAGGTTGCTGTATGGCCTCCCATTGCTGCTGCCTCCACCGCCACACTGTGGCTCCAAACACTGGTTTTGGCCCCGTGACTGGCCAAATGAGTGAAGTGTGCGGTGATTTCTCAGATCGACGGCACTCATCTGCATGTCATACTGACTGACAGTATTATTTCTCTTCCCCAGCAGACTCCAAGGGCATTTAAATTAAAGGTACAGTGTTCTGCACTAATATTAAGTCTCTCTGAAGCCTAGAAACACCCTTTTTTAAGTTAAATTCACAGCGAATATATTCGACTCGAATCGAATATTGTGCACGAATTCGCCGAATCAGTCGAATCGAATTTTTGAATACTTCGCTCATCTCTAGTGAGTATGCTTTCTTTGTGGTAGTAGAAGAAGCGCTGCATAAATTGACACCATTATATATGTACCTGAAATAATAAATACAAAAATAATCTATACTGAACACTCCTAAGGTATTTGACTTTGGGAAAGTTTCAAAAATCCTTTTCTAACGCCTTTAAGTGCCTGATCATACCAGTGCGATTTGCATATTGAACTCACACCTGAATTCGTATCTAATGAATGTCAATGTCATAACATTTGCGATTTATAAAGCAGTTCTTGCATTACTTTTTCTGCAGTTTTTTTGTGATTTCACATACATAGAATATAACTGAAATCGTACTGCAAATTGCAAGAAATCATTGAAAGTCTTCACAAGAAGCAATAAAGTATATAGAAATCGCACCTAAAATTGCACACAAATCTCGCGATTTCAAATCGCAGCGCTGTGACGGGTGACTAATATGCAAATAAAATGCATCTGGAATGCAAACTAATGCTATTGGTATTTCAGAGAAATTCAAATCGTAATGCCCATGTGAAATTGTTAGCTAATTCCTAAATACAGAACTGCATTCAGAGCCAACAAGTCCCAAACACTAGAAACTAATGATGTCCCCGGTAGCCCTACTTCAGGGATGCTCATGACCTCTATTTCACCTCCGCAACATCTCCAAAATACATCCGTTCCTAACCCCGGACACCACTAAATAACTCGTTCACCTCCCTTATCATATCACTCCTTGACTACTGTAACTCCCTCCTCATCGGCTTTACCCCACCGCAGGCTATCCCCGCTTCAGTCTATCTTGAACGCTGCGGCCAGACTCATCCACCTTACTAACCGCTCCGTATCTGCCACCCCCCTCTGCCAATCCCTCCACTAGCTTCCGATTGCCCAACGGATAAAATTCAAAATGCTAACATTGACTTATAAAGCTTTTCATAATACTGCCCCAAACCACATCACCGACCTGATATCCAAATACCACCCAAAACGTACTCTCCGCTCCTCACAAGACCTCCTACTCTCTAGTTCCCTGGTCTTCTCCTCCCATGCTCATCTCCGGGACTTCTCCAGGGCTTCCCCCATCCTCTGGAACTCCCTACCCCAATCCATCAGACTATCACCTACTCTACTTGCCTTTAGGCGCACTCTGAAAACCTATCTCTTCAGGGAAGCGTACCCCGCCCTCAGCTAATTACTGAACTCCTCCACTCTTCCTATCACTCCATCCCCCACAGCTATTTTCTCCGGTACCACTATGTCCTCCCCTCCTAGATTGTAAGCTCCAAGGAGCAGGGCCCTCAAAACCCTTGTGTATTGAATTGTATTGTTACTGTGCTGTCTCGGGTACTGTCTCCCATTATAATGTACAGCGCTGAGCAAACTGTCGGCGCTATATAACTCCTGTATAATAATAATAATAATCCCTAGCCAAGCCCAGGAGGGAGGCAGGTCTTCCGGTGATTCCCAACTGGGAAAGCCTGATTCTGATCTGCCTACATCTTTATTGCTATAGGTAAGAAAAACCTAATGTGCCCAAAAACAGGAACTACACCAGGACCTCTAAACACCTTCCTACAAGTCAACATCCAGAGCATATGTCTGTATGCATGTGCCTATTTTATATCTATTATTTTTTGGGGGATCACAAGTAGCTGGTCTTGCCTAGGGCGCAAAATAGTCTAGCACCTGCCCTGGGTGAAGGAAAGCAGGTAAAGTAGTATAGTAGCAACGGGCAGCACACAACACTAGGCCTAGGGGGATGGAGAATATAAATCTGTCCCCTTGACACGCTATATAACTATAGTAAGTAGATCATTAGACATGTGCAATGTGTTTAGTTAGTTATTCGGAGATTTGGATGTATCTAAATTTCAAAATCACATTAGTAACAAAATTCAAACAAATGAAATAAAATGATAATGAAATGAATTATCCAAATTTGCAAATAATTCTAATTCGAAAATGAATTTCAATTTGAAAATGAATTTGCACTAAAATATAGTAAGGTATGAAAGTGAAATAAGATGATGATTTCTACTTAGGCTGCTTTATAGAATAGAACAAAACAGAATAGAATAGGAAAGGATATAAAGAGAATAAATAGAAGGAACAGAATAGAATAGAATGGAAATAGAATAGAATATAATAGAAAAAAAAAGAATAAAATGGGATACATCTGGAGGAAAAGAGATTTAATCTCCAAATACGGGAAGGTTTCTTTACATTAAGAACTGTGAAAATGTGGAATAGACTCCCTCAAGAGTTGGTTCTGGCCAGCTCAATGGATTGCTTTTAAAAAAGGCCTGGATTCTTTTCTAGATACAAAGAATATAACTGGATACTAACATTTTTGTATAAAT